AATAAAGGATGACATGCTATTACCAGTTGTCACTGATGGCACCATAAGGCCAGCTCTTAAATTGTTCTAATTGTTACAGAAAATGTAACATTTAACACTTTAAGGGTTTTTGACAGATTCTCAAAAGCTGCCCTGATCAACGGGACTGAAATAAGCCACAGATGAATCACCTAGAGGACAAAGGGTTTAAGTATATCCACTTCCCTTTCCTCTAATTATGTTTGTAAACGTGACAGTGCTTATTAGTGACTTTGAAACAAAGCAGACAAGAAAGCACAATTGTCACTGTCACTCCTTATGCCACCACCAGTGTGAGCTGTTGAGCAGGAAGCACCTCTGCAGGCACTCTGCTCCCAAGAGAACTGTGATGCTTGGGGCTCAGATAAGAGCTAATATTATCCATAGCAGCTAATATGGGGCTGTGTTTTGTATATGTGCTGAAAACAGTGTTGACAACCCCACGATGTTCTGGTTGCTGCTAAGCAGTGCTCACACAGCACCAAGGCCTTTTCTGCTTCTCACACCATGAGTGGGCTGGGGGTGCTCAAGGAGATGGGAGGGGACACAGCTGGGACAGCTGATCCCAGCTGGACAAAGGGATATTCTAGACCACATGATGTCATGCCGAGCATACACAGCTGAGGAAAGAGGAAGGAAGGGGGGAATGTTTGGAGTGATGGCATTTTGACTTCCCAAGAAACTACTACCCATGATGAAGCCCTGCCACCCTGGGCATGGCTGGGCACCTGCCTGCCTGTGGGAAGCAGTGAAGGAATTCCTGGTTTGCTTTGCTTGTGTGCAGGGTCTTTGTCTTACCTGTTAAACTCTCTTAATCTCAACTCACAAGTTTGTTTTCTCACTTTTACCCTTCCTGTTCTCCCCTTATCCCACCTGGGGTGGATGGGGGTGTGAGTGAGTGGCTGTGTGGGGCTTAGTTGCTGGCTGGGGTTAAAACACAACAATAACATTACTTTTTATAAAGCTTACCATTGTTTTTGCAGTACTTCCAGATGTTGTACATACATATCTCAACACAGTTTTCTTCTTTGGTTTCCTCTGAAGCTTTTGCAGAGGAATCATCTTTTTTATCTACAGGACAAGAACACATCGGTCCTTACTTGCTCTACCAAAATACAACTCTAAGAGAAAGAGACTGAATCTGCTATTTCATCCCAGAAATAACCAGAAGCTGACTGCAGCAGCCAAGTCAAGCACTTTCAGGATCTGACTATCCCCTGTACAGCACAAGTTAGGGCTTTGACCAATAAACCCCCACAGTGGAAGGAAGGCTCAGTGGAAATGGCCAAGGGTAATGTCATGAAGCTCAGAGAGAAACACAGGGTGTGACTCACCATGGATTTTTAAAAGCTGACTTTGTCTCAACACAAAGGGGACCAGCGGGGTGGCCTCTGCTGTAGTTAAATGGCTATGTCAGCTGAGTCCACCAACTGGTGGTATAAATGTTTCTCCCACACTTAGCCAGACCAGCATGGGAGCGATTAAATGCAGGGCTCAGCCCAACATAAGAGTATAAAAACTAAACAACTAGCAAAAGAATTTCAAAGAAAGAAACAGGCTCGGGCTGGCTTCAACCCATATGTTCTTTCCTGGGGACACTCAGCATCATGACAGCATGCATATTATAGACACTGGTTATGTAAATCACATTGGTATCACAACTGCTGTTTTGCTAAGTGTAACTTAACAGCTGTATTGTCTCTTCAGTGTATTTTGCATCACTCTGCTACATCAGAAATCTCACTGTACAGGGCCTAGCTAGGATAGAGTTATTTTTTCTTCACAGCAGCTCATATAATGCAGTGTTTAAATTTTTTACACACTAACACCTTAGCTTTTGCTGAATAGACTGGGGGGTACACAATAGGTTGGGAGGGATCACAACCAGGCAGATGACCCAGACTAACCAAAGAAATATTCCATACCATAGAACATCATGCTCAGTAATAAAAGAGAAAAGAAGTTTTGCTTGGGAACTGGCCAGACAACAGCCTGTCCAAGTGAGGTGGTGAGTGACTGCCTTTGAATCACGTGCTTTGCTTTGGTATCTTCTTTCTTCTTCCATTTACCCTTTGCTTTTTTTTTTTCTTCTTTCTATCTTGACCCCCAGGTGTTCTTGCTTTTATTCATTCTTTTCTCTTTACCTGTTACTCTGGGCATCAGGGGGAACCTGAGAAAGTGGCTGTGTGGTGCCTAGCTGCCCACCAAGGTTGACCCACAACACTCACATAACATCAACTATCTTCAAATAATAATGTATCTTCAACTATCTTCTGTGGGAAACAGTTCTTCTTTCCCAATAGCCCCCTGGCATCGGCTCCCATTATCTTCAAATACATATCTGATATTAAACATTTCACTCTCCATGCATGGAATATCTAAAAGAACCTTTTCACAGGGTATTGGACTCTTGACAGGATTTAAAGCCAAGGCCCTTCTGTGCAGAAAGACTGGAGATTTACAAGTTCCTATTTATTCAGCATAATGTAGGGCAAGCATCTAAGCTGCCCTCCAACTACCACAGGGTGTTTTAGGTCTGTGCAAAACCAAATACCAGTGAGAACTACTGATCTCAAGACTGGAGGTTTAGAAACAATCCATACCTTTGTCTTCACCACCTCCGGCTCCTGCTGGCAACTGGTGTTGGCTCTGATTGGGTACATCACTACCAGGACCTGCATGAGAAGACTAAATGAACAGCACTGCTGGACCCAAACCTCAGCTAGCTGGTAAAATCCCAATTAATGTGTTGAGGATTATGTCCATCACACATAATTTTCCACTGGCACTCCACTGCTGATACACCAGATGAGCAATAACAGTTACCAATCCCAGCTAGTCACAGCTATTGGCAGGACATGCAATAGCAATTTAGGCAAAGTAATACAGGTCTCCCTCCTACATGACTCAGCCTTGACTTGTTCCATTCCTGAAAGCAGTTCAATGACAATAGGGGGAAAAAAAGTATGGACATGTTGTATGAAGGGAAATAGAAAAGCTGACTCCACATGAAAGCAGTTGGTACTTATCTAGATATTAACCTTCTGAAGGTGGCACAACCATCTGTGTCACTACTTGTGAAGGTACCAGCAGTTCCTGACTCTTTGTATGTGTCTTTATTCTCAAATTTGCTCTTGGTTTGTAGTACACTGAAAGCACAGAAAGGAAGAAGGGGTTCAGCTGTGAGGTAAGACAAGAATACTTTCCACCTCTATCAAACTCCGAATTCTATTTAAACCAAATGTTTCTTACAACTTACTTTTCTCCTTCCTCAGATCGTTGTTGAATGCCACATGTTTGTGACTACATATAGTCTGGATGTTTGAAGCTATGTTCATGCTAATGCCTTCAGTGTCCAAAAGTCTCAAGGCATGGCTATCCAAGAGGTTATGGGACCTCTTGCATGTGAGAAATCTACATTGCCCCTGGAGGAAGTGTCCACAAATATGAAGCTTGTTGCAGTTGCTTTGCTGGTGGCAGACACTATCCTTTCTGTTGTAATACGGACAGACCTAGAAGTGGGGAGGAAGTGGAAAAGCACATTAGAATCAGTAATTTTGTCTTTGTTTTATAGGCAAAGAGCTTTAAGAGCAGAAAAAGGGCGAGAGTGGGTTTTTTACCACCAGTTTTATATGGATAGAAGACCAGTAGCTTTGGGGTCTTTTTTGTTTTCAGAAACATACCATAAAGTTGTAAAGACTAGCAAGGGTGCTGAACCTCATCATGGATGAGAATTCAGCACAGCAAGCCATAGCTCTACCAGAGAGGTCTGTCTGATGTTGTATTGTCATTGGTTCCCATGACATCATAAGGGCCACCTAAGACTTCTTCTCATTATAAACTTTAGTAATAATCAGATATTTATGTTAAGTATCATACACCTTTCTTAGTGAGATTCAAAAGTACCAGCCCCTGCCAATGCAAGCACAGCCAGCAAGGTCTCAGGCTTGTGAGACCCCACCTGGAGTACTGTGTACAGTTCTGGAGCTCCCAACATAAGAAGGACATGGAGCTTCTAGAGCAAGTCCAGAGGAGGGCCACAGAGATGATCAGCAGGCTGGAGCACCTCTCCTGTGAGGACAGGCTGAGAGACCTGGGGTTGTTTGGCCTGGAGAAGGCTCCAGGGAGATCTCATAGCAGTCTTCCAGTATCTAAAGGGGGCCCACATGAAAGCTGGGGAGGGACTTTCCTACAAGGGCTTGTAGTGAAAGCTCATAGGCTGCACTTGATGATCTTAAAGGTCCTTTCCAGCCTTGGTGATTCTGCGTGTCTGATTCTGTGTGAAAGGACAAGGGGTAATGGATTAAAACTGGAAAAGAGTATATTTAGGTTAGACACGGGGAAGAAGTTCTTCAGTGTGCAGGTGGTAAGGCACTGAACAAGTTGCCCAGGAAAATTGTGGATGACTCCTCCCTGAAAGCATTCAAGGCTAGGTTGGATGACACTGAATCTGGTTGAGAGAGATTTTGTAGAGCAACTAGAGGACGATGCACTAAAGATAACGTTAGTATGCAAGACAAAATTCTTACATGGGTACATGAGAATAAACTCCCAAACTATAACAAACTGCTGCCTCAGCTAAATAGGGAGTACACTATTTAGTTACATTAAAAAAAAAAAAAAGCACAATAAAACAACAAATAAAAAAGAGTGAGAAAGAAGGGGAGAAAAAGTTTAAAAAACTCTGATTTGAGATGCTGTTGTGTTTTTCTCACCCTGTACCCCAGCTCAGGTCACAGAGGTCCAAAGCTTGCTCTTTGCTTGAGAGCTTCATACATGCTATTTGTCAGCACACACACAGATACTCCACATTTCTAAGCAAAAAACAGCCAGCTCCCCTCTCCTAAGCTCTATGAATGGCCTGCATTTTACTCCACAATAGGAGTTAAAGTGCTTAGTTAGAGGTGATTAATGATGCCTGCCAGCAGTGAGGGTTGAACAGATCTATAGATAAGCTTAAGAGTGACATCAACGTTTACCACTATCTGCTCATTACTGGAACTAATTAAATAAGAAACACGTAAGGTTTAGATGTACTGGAACAGGACAAAGATATTATCAATCCTCCTTGCTCCTTGCATCTGCTAGCACAACATATTTTAAAATACTACAAGAATTAAAGAAAAAAAAATCTGGTTTGTCAAAGCCCAGCACTTTCACAGTGATGAATAAGAAAACAAGAGAACTGTTACATTAACAGATCTGTGGAGATTTTAACCCCCCAAAAGACAAGGGTAACAGGTAGTAGTACTCTGTAATTTTTTAACCAGGAACTGCTATAGCCAGAACAGAATATTCTTGGCTTTCAAAAAGCCATACCTTGAAGATAGCAGTGCCCTTATACACACATGCAGACCCAGAATGGATTGTTCAGCCAAGTTTAACAAAATCAATGACTGGCTTACAAAGGTTGTTCCATAGAAAACTACTGTACAGAAACTCACTGCACTTTGGAAGGGCTTGATTTTACACAACACTGACTGCAGTAATGTGGTAATAGTTTCATAGATTTTTCTCACTCCCCCATACTCTCAAACACCTAAATGTGCAGGACTACATAGACTGGAAAAGGAAAGTGGTCCTGGCTTCCTAGTTTCCATCATCTCTTGGAGAACAGCCCACAAACTGGTTTCGGTCAGGTTTCTTATCCTGTAAGCATGTACAGTTACTGTGATCTATCACATCTGTCTTGCCTACCTCGCTGTCTGTAAATTCTGGTGAAGTTTCTGACTTTTTTGTTTGCTCGTTTTGAGTAACTTTATGGCGATCCTGTCAGAATAACAGGAAAGGCACACACAACAGGCGGAGCCTTGCTGTCCACTTCCTGCTGTCAGAGGGCAAGTTTTCTGCTGACATGTCATAGATGACATAGCCTTATCCAGGTGCAAGCCTTCTGGTATTTATTTAAGCAACACACCCATCAGCCTTTAACAGTTTTATTGCAGGTTTGGTTGAGAGTTTTTTTGTTCTAAATACACAGCACTGTTACAACCCTTGCTCTACACTGTTTTTTCTGGTGTGCTCACACACAGCCATTCCCATTCATACTTCATTTAGACTGAACTTGATCTATCTGTTATATACAGATATGTTAGAGCTTGGAATTGAGATCAGACCCCCACCCTTCTTCTTGTCCACTCCTAATTAACAAAAGCTTCTCTTTAGAAATTACCACAACTCACATCAGGGAGGAAGAAAGGGTCATTCTGGAGAAGCAGGATTTGCAGCTCATTTTCTTCGAGGCCAGACAGCTCATGAGTCTTCAGAACTTTTTTGTTCTCAGCATTGATGATGTCATGGGAGTACTTACAAGCTCTGCAAGAAAATACACAGAAGTAACAATGTTTACTTCAAGTTGATTTGAAGAAGAACCTCAGACAATATGCCACTTGGGAAAAGCCATGGAGAGAAAGGCAGTTGGGTAGGAATCTCTGTAGTTAGCTAGAAAATGGACGAAGCACCATAACAACTGTGAAATACAGTAGCATTATTATCCCCATCTAAACACTGATGTGGCCAGACCGCTTCTAATAAAGCTAGCAGCATGCATTTTAAGCCAAGTCTGCCTACCCCCAAACTTTCTTCCCCTCCAGCAAGAGGCAGGTCAAGTCACACAACCCAAACAGCTGGAGGGAAAGCTAATTTTAGAGGAATACATTAACAACGATGGAAGTTACAACACTCTTGACTTTGTGAACCTAAAAAGGCTGTTGTCCCAAGGATGGCACATAAGTCTGGGAGTGCAAAACAAAGAGATAACAAAGCTGAAACCAACACAATTTTTTATCTGTGTGAGCTGGGAATTTGAAAAAAAATGAAAAGTCCAAGGAAGTTGATTAAATTCTGAGCTTTGGATAAATAAATGATTAAAGGACAATAACGAAGATGCTGCCACTTACTAATCCAAGAGAAATATCTGAAGAGAGTATGAACTAGACAGAAAGATTGCATTTTTTGCATCTTTTTGAAAAGATACTGCAAATTAATAATAAGAGGAGAAATACAGTCAACGTGTGTACTAATTCAATGTGGCAAAATAAACTTTCCTTATTCCGAAGTCTGATTTGATACAGCCTTAAGACTAGACATGCTTAAACAATAAAAGTACTTGCTAATCTATCAGACTCAAGACTATGCTCCCTTTAGCTAGTTAACACCTTAAACTCTTCTCATTAAAGCTTTTTTAGCTCATGCTGTGTCTGATTCAATCCTTCTGTGCAGACCCTGGTGCAGACATTTCACCCCTGACCCCAGCTCCCTCCTGGACACACTGCTTTGGAAGTAAATAAACAAGAATGCAAAGTCTGAAAGGCAGAAATGTGCCATCTTCAGTCCTGAGAAACGATCTTGTAAAGGTAGGAGTCAGTAGACAGTTAATGGCTATGAAGGTAGGAGAGCTACAGGGTATTCACCAGCGCTCCTCCATGGTTAACTTCAGATTCCACCAACAGTCACACAGTGGTCTAGACAAATACAGTGATAACTTATCAGTTGAGTTTCGTAACAGTTTCAGGGAAAAAAAAACAAACAGTGAAAAATTACCTGCCAGACACAAGTTAAAAATGGGTTTAACTGGACTTAAATGATTCCCCATGATTCCCACTGACTTGCACAGATATTTTTTTTTTCTTTTTCAGACATTCTGAAACAAAGGGGGTGCAACATCCGGAAACAAGGCCAGATTTTACATTGTCAGTTAAAAAATATTCTCTGTCTTGATCCGTGTGGTCCACCTGGCAGTATTTCTGCCCCCTTATTTTTATCAGCCTCCCTCCCATATAAAGCATACTCTTTGTGTTACTAAACACGTACAAAGGTGATTTAAAAATACCTAGTGCTGTTAAGAGGACAGAATAGTTGCTCATTACGAGTGGAACCACCTCATTGCATTTCAGTTCACACAGCCATCCCGTGAGTGCCTACATGCATTTGAAGGTACTTCTAACAGGGAAGCATGTGGAAGCTTATTGTACTGTCAGCGAAGCAAAAATCAGTCAGAAAATCTTAGCATCTGAATGCTCTACAAGTACCACGCCGAGACAGACATGGCTTTTTGCTCTCTTGCACACAGCAAGCTGTTTTGCTGGGGCAGAAGAGGAAGTGTCTGGTGGGGTATCAGTGCGTAACTAACGCTGCAACAGCTCAAGACCTGGGGCTTAAACCCCAACCTCTTCCATTGGAGCTCTCTGAAAAGATTCTGGCGTTCGCGTCTGCACTCAAGTTTGGTGTCCCTCATTGTTACTTCTTTTTAACTAGCACCCGTATTGGGCCAGCCCGTGCCCAGAGGGGCTGCAGGGCCCACCCACCCTGTGCACCCTCTGTCCGCCCTGGGAAGGGGAGCTGATGCCCGAGACACAGCCCCTCGCAGCCTCGGCTGTGACTGGAGCGGCGATTTACGTCAGGATTAAATGCTGGTAACTGTCTAGAGGAAAACCAGGCAGCACGCTAGCACTTTGCTTGTTTCTTGCTAGAGTAACATTTCATCCAGGTGCCCAGGGCTGAGGGACAGGGGTGGCAAACAAGCGCCTTTAACACAAACAACCCCAAACAAATCATTAACACTGGCAAAGCAAACCAGGCTTCAGAAAACCAGGCTGCAGAAAACTTCCACCTCCAGCGATCGCGTCGGGATTTTGCCACACGAGTGAGAACAGGAAACGAGCTCTTGGCCAGCAAGAAAGGCCCGATACGAGGCTGGACCCGGGGCGGGGGGGAAACAACCGAACCTCCCCT